TACATTCTATCATACCTACTTTTGTTGATATGTAGTTTTATTCCTTTGTAGCCAGATAAAATGCAGGATGTTACTTCAAATTTCATAAATTTGTTTATACTTGTTTTGTGTCCTAATGTTTGGCCAATTTTGGAGAAAGTTGCATAGTCTGTAGAGAAGAAAGTACATTCTTTACTGTTCAGATGAAAGGGTCTATTGCTGACTGCAGATCTATTTGATATATGATGTCATTTACTTTCAGAGTTTCTCTATCTAATTTCTGACTGGATGACCTCTGTACTGGCCAGAGTGAAGTATTGAAGTCACCACTATTGCTATGTTGGGTCATGCTGTCTGTAGCATGTTTCTCTACCAAATTGAATGTCATCTTAGATAGCCACCTCTGTATACAGTGCACATTGTGAGCAACACTGCTCTTTAAAACATCCTTGGGGTCCACTATTTGGCCAATAGACTTCATAGAACAATAATTGGATATGCAGTTCTATTTGTACCACTCATTTCTCTATTTACTTTTCATGTTCTGATCTAACTCTTTCATCCAGTTCTATTTTGAGATCACCATCAATTCCAATGCTAAAAGCAAGTACAGTTTGTATTCAGATAAAAGGAAAATTCTGAAAATCCCTTTCTCCTGTTCTTTTCAGGTTGAAATCAAAACACATTTGTATGTTAATGATGTGTCGTTTAAGTGAGGATTAAGTGTGAAGGATAGTTTTCTTTTTTTCCACTACAGTAGTTGGAATATTAGATACCACAATATCTTCTATTTTAAAAGAAATCATGTAAGTCTCAGGATGATGCTTTATGAATTAAATTAAATTTAATATTAAAACGATATTATTAGGTAAAAACCTGGTAATTAGGCATTCAAACAATAAACGCTAATGGCAATCAATGGGGAGGGTGGATAGAAGAGGCAACAACAGTCAATGTACTGATGGCAAAATGCCTTTTAAGAGGGTTAGAGCAGATATGGGTCAAGGATGGAACCAAAGCATGAAAGTGAAGACAAAGGGACCTGAGCATCTACTGTGAATATACTTTCAATAAGGAAAGATGACATGCAAAAGTTTTTATTTTGAATTTCTGACACTCCCACTTATGGAATATTCCTTTACACTGTGTGGATATATGTTGTTGTGATTAGTTTAATAAAGGAGCTAACTGGCCAATAACTGGCAAAGTGAGACTGGCAAACAAAGAGAGAGACAGTGAAGAAGAAGGAAGGAGTCTTGGGGAGTCATGAGGCGATAGATAGAAAGAAAGAAAGCAAGGACTGAACTTGCAGTACTAAGAAAAGGTATGTAGCCACATGGCAGAGCATAGATAAGAAATATGGGTTATTTTAAATTGTTAGAGTTAGCCAGTAACAAGCCTGAGTTATTGGCTGAACATTTATAATTAGTCTGTGTGATTTTTTGGGGAACTGGTTGGTGGGAAAGAAAAATCCATCTACACAAGTGTAATCTTAATTTTCAGTGATTGTTTTTGTAACTCCATGGTGACTTAAATATCAAATTTCTTGCTAAAGAATATGTAGCCTCCAATGTTTTAGTTTCATGTTCTGTGTGAGTCTTTTAGGTTGATTTAAGTAAACATGTACCTTCAGGGGAAGAAATTTAATATCCAGTTAACTTGTTTCTATCCCAATTTCATATTATGGTTTAACATACAAGTTATTTTATAATTTTCATACAACATATGTTTGTTTACATTGGAATTATTTGTGACTCTAAAATATTATATAAAATTAACCTAACAAAACCTGTTTCAAATATAGCTGATACTTTATTCTAGTTTTATTAAAACATATATCTAATGTTCTATGTATGAGGTTGTCTCACATTAAGCAAGGTGGTTATAGTATAAATCCCATTATCTCCTATGTTCCATTTACAATGAGATGTAAATGAGGGCATGCTTTTCTGAGAATTCAGAAATGAAATCATTATGGAAGAAAAATAAGAGAGCTGGAATAATTCAAACATCTCATGGTGATATAATCCCATACCTCTATGACTCTGCACATGGATTCATTACAAACTTTGATAGCTAAAAGCATACAACTTAAAAAAAAAACTGTATGCTAAATTCTGTATTTGATGTTAAATAAAGTTAATAAAGAATTAAATTTTGAGTCACCTAAGTGTAACATTATAGCCCATTATTACACATTTTCAATTTAGCTTCTTTCATTTGGACACTTTTAGATTTTAAGTGTGTCTACTTATATTAACCTGGGAAGTTATTACTGGAGCTAAACATGTACTGCTGATTAAATTCTAAGTGTTAAATTTGGTTACAAAACTAAATAGTAGTATGTATATTTACTACATTTTTAAGAACATGAGCAACATTCCGGTGCCAACTGACAATTATATTGTGTATGCATGCATTATATGTATATATATATGTGTGTGTGTGTGTGTGTGTGTGTGTGTGTGTGTGTACATCATACGTGTATCATAAGAAGTCATATTACTTGGATGATGAACCTACTCCTTTTTTTAGTATGCCTAGAAATTACCAAGTAGTCTTGACAGGGACTGTAAAGAAATTCTGAAAGGGAAGAAGTTGATAACACTGAATGTTAAATGAATAATGAAAGAAAATTCTCCAATAAACACCTGGCTCACACCTCAAAGAATTAGGAAAGAAGATAATAGTAAGTAGAACAGAAATAAATGAAATAGAGAATATAAAAACATAGTCAATTACCTAAGAGTTGGGATATTTACAAATTTATGCAAATTGACAGAATAGAGAAAAGATGACATTCTTAGATAATGAAATCAGAGATGAAAGAAGAAACATTATAATTGATATTACAGAAATACACAGGATTATGAGGGCACAATAGGTATCATATACCAACAAATCATCGTACAAAACAGAATTTTCTAGAAATATAAGTTTAATGAGAGTCACAAAGAGAAAAATTAAGTCACTAATTACAAGTCACTTGACAGGGCCTGGGGAGGTGGCTCAGTGGTTAAGCACTGGTTGCTCTTTCAGAGGATCTGTATTTGGCTCCCAGCCCCCCAAGTTGACTTATAACCATCAATAACTCTAGTTCCATGAAATCCCATTCCCTCTTCAGATCTGTGGAGGCACCAGGAATATACTCGGTACACATGCATAGACCCAGGCAAAATACATATACACAATAAATAAATAAATAAATAAATAAATAAATAAATAAATAAATAGTGCTAGAGTAGTCATAGATATTGGAGGAGAACTTAGAACCACTATTTTACTAAACCATTGCAATGCCAAATAACAATCTCAACATTAGTCCTTATCTCCACAGAAAACTCTAGTCTTCACGCCTCATCAAGAAACATAGATCACCCCAGAAACCACTAGAGTTCAAGTCTAGTGGACAAAACACTCCTGAACCTAAGGCTTAGGGCAACATTTCTGAAGAAGGTGCAGAACAATTGTAAAAGCCAGAGAAACCAAGAGTTTGTTATGAGATGTGTCTCAGATATTACTGCCCAAACATGAGTCGAACAAGGACAAAGAACCACAGGCAACTGAGGGATTCTTTGAATGGGAAAATTGGTTCAGGAAAGATTACTGGTTATCCAATACCAAATGGTCAGCTCTGAAAACATATACAGAAGTAACATTATACAGACTGAGTAGGTTATATTCAAGGATATACATTTATAAACAGATATGAACACTGGTAACAATTAATGAAAACAGAAGCCATAAGTTTGAAAGAGAGCAAGAAGGGTATATGGGAGAATATGGAGGAAGGGAAGGAAAAAGGAATGATGCAATTTATTTATTATAATCTCAAAAAAGAAAAAAATAAGATTCTCAACCCAAAGGAATTAAGGACTCCTTGATTTCAGTGATTATCAAACAAATATTGCATGTTAATATTACTTTGTCTCAAACTCCTCCACACAGTTGAAAATGAAGTAAGAAGCAAATTTCCAAACGCCTATTACGAAGTCACTGATAGTAACTACTGAGGACAAAGCAAAGTCATCACTTTTTAATATCTTTATAATTATGGACATAAAACGCTCTGGGTGTTAGACCTTAAATAAACCAAAAAGTTCCACCTGCCCAAGGACCAGGGATTCTGGGACTTCTAGTTTTGAAAAATAACAACAAGGTCTCATTAAATGGTGTGGTGCTTTTTGGGTTTTGTTCATGCAAGCCCTGTCATCATGTGTCTCCAGACCACTCACCTGAAAAGTCTCTAGGTAATGGCACTGATCAAATTCTGTCAGGGTTAGAATTTAATATTTTAATAAAACCTTGCTTTTAATTTGACCAAAATGGTGCTCTGGCAAATCTCAGAATTAACAAGGATTGGGAGACTCTAGCGAAACAAACCCATAGCACATTAAAAAAAAAAATTCTTCCATGTGCTCACACAAAATGTATTCCAAGGATGCAAGGATGGTGCTGAATCTGAAATTCTTTGAATGCTATATAATTATAACATTAAAAATGGATGAAGAATAAAAATAATATAACCATTGAATTGTGTGCAAAAAAAAAAAAAAAAAAAAAAAAAAAGCTTTTTAGAAGCCAAAATCTTTTCATGATAAAAAAAAAAAAAAAAAAACTTTCACAGTTAGAGACAAATGAAAACCATGCCAACACAATAAAACATTATATATTAAACAACAACAAACATCATATTCACTGGTGAAAAGTTCCCAAGAAATCAATTTGTATCCAGGAAAGGATTTCAAATGTAGACTGTAATTCACTTTAAATAAATGTATTTTGCTCATAAAGAAAATAGCCATAAGCTGGGTGTGATATCACACACACTTTTAATCCCAGCAATCTGGAAGCAGTACTGTGGGGTTAAGCCCAACTTGGTTCATATAACAACTTCTACTTTAGCCAGAATACCTAGTGAGAGCCTGCTTGGGGAAAAATATCCTCATGATTTGGTTTTTAAAACGTAACTTATTTGACAATACTGATGCTACTGTGAAATGTACAAGTAGAACACATACTGGGTTTAGAAGGATTGTGAGGAAAAGTTCACCTCCTTTGATACTTTTATCCAATTCCTGGGGTCCTCCTGGATATTCCTTGTAGAAAATAGTATGTGTGAACAGCCCACAGGTCTGCCGAGGGAGGACCTGATGACAAAGAGGTGAAAGCAACACTGGTAAGATTTAGCTAAGAACTGGGACCACTCCCATAATTTCAGACAGCAAAGGGTTCCTGGTGTCCTCCTGTAGCCAGTTGTTCATGCTGGTTTAATTTCCCAAATGTCAAGCAACTGAATCAAAAACATACAATTTGTAGCTTCAAGTATGAGCCCAGTTAACTGAGTTCTATAAATCTAAACTACTGTCTGACTCAGGTTAAGGGATACAGTGTTATCTTAGGGTTCATTTCATTTAGGCAGCAAACATGGTTATGCTTCTCATCCAACTAAGCTTCCATTCTCCTTCTGATACTCAGTCTTGTAGAGTATGCAGTTCTGGGGTTCAAAGCAAACTTTTCTCACGATCACTACTTTGCTTTGTCTGCAATATAACTGACTTTAAATTTCATCTCAGTAGTAAACAGAACATTTAATGACTACTTCTGGAATATTTTTTTGCGTTGAATTTGCTGTCACTCTGGATGTTCAACAGACAAAACAAATAAGCAAATTGACTCTAAAGTCCTATTTTGAATAATAAATCATTTATAGTCTAATAGAAAATACACCCAATTACACAAAAAAGCTATGATGACATTTATTCCTCATTTAATATTCATAATTAAATTAAAGGTAAATGAAAGAATGTAGTCATGGCTAAAATGATGAGTTCCTTTCATGACGTGTTGGGTGATTACACAATGAAAGAATCTCAATGCTTTCTCTGTTTTTAAATTTATTTGAATAATTCTTTTTACACTTCTGGATTTCTATAGACTTCAATTGTACTGTATCAATGATTTCAAGTAATAATCCATGTTTTTGGTTCACTAGTGCCATATCATAGTGATGAGATGATTAAAGCCCCATGATAAAATTACGGAGCTCCAATATGAGTAGCTATATATTCTTCTCTCTTGGTTTGAGATGGAGATTAGATGTAAAGATTGACAGATTAATAGATAGGTAGTTATAGTAGCAATATAAGTAATAGTGTAGGTAAGTGTAAATATTGAACAGAAAGAAGATGGTAAGCTCTTACTCTGATCTTGACAACTAATGGTGGGAACATCTTCAAAGATATCTGGAATTGGATAAAACTAGCCATTTTAGAAGCAAGGGAATGGTTTCACTTTTTCCTCCAATGAGTGATGCTAAATTTCCAGCTCAAATTCATAATGGATAAATCATTCTTAAATTTGATCATTATTGTTTAGCTAATACACAAGGAAAGGGAGTACATGCCACCCTTCCCTGCAATTTCCAGAATGAAAATAAACAGCATCCTAAAATGCTATGAATGCCTGAAAGTCAAAATACTTCAGACAGATGGATTTAGCTTTGAGACACTATTGCTGCCTTTTATCTACTGGTAGTGAAGTGATTGGAAAGGTGTTTTCTTGATCTGTAGGGTGACATCCTACCTTTAACTCATGTTAAATCAACTCAAACAAGCAGCACTAAGGAAAAAACGTAGAGCCCCAGACCAAATTTAAATTTGAAAATATTAGTGGATAATCTACACAAAACACATTCCCATTGTTTCTAGATTGTTAAACACTCAGTAAAATCACTCTACAGCTCAAATAAGCTGATAGTCAAACAGTATGTCATTGTATGACCAGTCACCTTCATGGCATGTCGGAAACTTCTGAAAGTCATGTTAAAGTAGCTCTGTGTTATATCCTCAGAAAGAATGTTAATCTCTTCTCTTAAACATGGGGTATCATGGGTCCTCAGACCCAGACATATGTGCTCACCATGATGCTATTGTGAATGAAGCCCTTCCTGTATCTTGCAGGTTTCAGATGTGGATACTCTTCAGTGCTGGTGACCTGAATACCCCAGACCTTCTTCCAAGCTGCATACAGCTGAATATGGACCGGGTAGACCCCTGAGTGATGTGGGGCCACCGCATAGCCCAGGTTGGTCGGTATTCCATGTTCCTAAAAAAAGTCAGAAGAACACCATCATGGAGTGGGGGCAATTGGGTCAATTCAAAAAAATCTTTATATCTATTTAGCATATATATATTGGGATCCCCATTAAGTAAGAGGAAATTAAATTATAGGAAGATAGAAATTTTATTCTTCCTTCAGTTCATCAGCTTCATAAAGACCTGATGCTAGTTTAACGAAAGTAGTTCATACTTTGGGCTTGCCCTATGTGCATGCAATAAAGTCTGAAATTAAATGCATTAAGTTTGAGGGAATGATAGTGTTGTGAGTGACTGTTCTCTGAGCCCAACAGTACCTGGGGCAATCAGGTGTTCCCCTTGCAAAAGATCTTCCCAGTTAGACCTGCTGATGCTCTACAACCCTGAAAAACCAGCTTGGGAAAGGGCATGTGTGTCCAGTTTCTCCCCACTTCCTGTTGTAGGCCACTCTGCATTAATTGTATATGACCACCTCTTGAAGGTTTAGGCTATAATATGTAGAACAGGGAAGACTGCAGCACCATGTATGAACTATGTGGTTATAGGAAGGTTCTCACCCCTGTTGGATAAGGCTTTTCACATGATGCCTGTTGGGAAAGGAAAACCTACATTCCTGAAAGGAACCTCTCACCTGTTCTGTTAGGAAGCCTAACATACTCATTGGCTCCCAGTATTGAACTTTGGCAGATTCACACATTTGTTTGTTATTGGGACCTTTGGAGACAGGGTGGACATTGCTTGTTTCTCACCTGGAAGGCAATTTTAGCTATAAATAGGAATTGAATTTTGACTTTTATCAAGCAGATGAAGCAAAATATAAAAATCTGTGACTTGAGGAATTGCCTAACTTAGAAAACATAGAAGAGGAAAATGGAAAAACACATTTTGTGTGTGTGTGTGTGTGTGTGTGTGTGTGTGTGTGTGTGTGTGTGTTTGTGTGTTTGGTATTGATACACACCAGGAATGTTAATGTTAACCATAAGGTGATGAGAGCTTTTATTTGCATTCTGTTTGTTTGTTTGTTTAGATTTAATAAGCCTTGAATCTGCTGAGTTTGGAGGGCTACAATGCATTATTCTTTGCTTCAAGAAACAACTAGTGGAATTCCGAGATCAGAGTTACATGATAAGGAGTTATTTCTGTGTTAAATGTTAGAGGAGAATGGATAACAGACAAAGAGTATGGGAGAGTTAAAATCTAGGATAGTTTTTTGTATACAGGGTAAATGGAAGGCAAAGATCACATTTTGCCATAAACTGTAGAAACTTAATTTATCGTAAAAGGCATACACTTTAGTATGAGGTATTTTGGTAAACAGTCAACACTAAATGACTACAGGCATAAGTTTAAAGCAAGAATATGAAAACATTCTCAGTTATTGTATTATATTTCTAGGCATGTGAAATATTCAGTTTTCTAATTTCTACCTCTTTTATAACTTTCCCTTTAAATGTATATCTGCTTCATAAAGTTTCCTTGTAGGGCTGAATCTCATCAATTGAGCTGATAAATGAGGATATATAGTCAAATATGAAAGTTGATTGAATCAATAAACTGAGCAAAAAATTGTTGACAATTGATGTTTTTATTGTCTGTTACAGCACACAGCACGGGGAAAGCATTCAGTCTTGGATGAAAAGCAAGCAGTAGGTGTTCTCATATCTTCATTGTATCACCCATATACTACACTAGTCCCAATGATGGGCACTGAATAATTTATGTCACTATCCTTTTCCCTTCATGAAATAAACCTTATTGTGTAGCCAAATTCAGTTCTTTTTCATCAAGACTGTTTTCTAACATCTATTATAATAAATGACTCTTATAGAAGTACTGAATTATGAAATCAATGCTATAAAATGAGCCATAGCCTTTTTTCCTAGGTATAAGGGAAAACTGGTATCTTAGTGCTAGTAAAGAAATACATTTCTTACAAGGGCCTCTCTCCCCTCTCCCCTCTCCCGTTTCCCTTCTCTTCCCCTATCCTCCTCTCCTCCCTAATATTTCCATTACTGGAAATTGAATTCCATTCCTCACTAATGTTAAGTGAACAATCTGTTACTGAGCTAAAACCTGAACCTAAAGTTTGTATTTTCTGTATAGGACCAAGTTGGAAAACACTACAGATAGAATTGCCTGGGGGCTGACCAAGGAGGCTGCAGCTATGTAGCCTGGACCCACTACAGGGTCCTTTACTGAACCCTATCACTCAGCCTTAGTTCTTTTTGGTCTGATTGCTGCCTAGTAAATGATGATTCTCTAATGAAGATGAGTGATTACCCAGAAAAACAATGTGCCCAGCCCAGTCCACCATTGCATTGCCAATGAAACAGAGGTCAACTTCCTGGAGAAAGAAAACTAGGCATGAGGGTGTTAAAACTCCTCTGTTGGTGAAAACAATTGGTATGGCTCTTTTGCCTGGGAAGTACTTATGACTCACAGGAAAGAGAAACTTTTCTCCTAATGTGTTGGTTATTCTTGCAACTGTTTCATGTAAGGGATTTCCACATCTCCTATAATTTAGAAAGTGACAAAACAACAGTGTGGGAATCCTAATATTCATTAACAATACATTTGTTGGCCTTGCTCTCTACTACGGTGTGATGCTTTGTTACAAAATATGAGGCCTTAGATGTTAGATAAATGTGGTAGTGTCATAGAAACAAAGAGATAAAAATAAAACACAAGGTCTATAAAGAGAACTGAAATAACAAACAACTATATTCATCCTACAAAAAAAAAAAAAAAAAAAAAAAAAAAAAAAAAAGCATTTCACTTTTGATATAGAGTAAAAGGAACTTTTAGAACTTTCCATGAAAAATCAGGATGGAAAAGCAATTGACTCAGTGAGTAGGGAGGAAGGGTCAGTAAAAAAGATTTTATTATACTTATTGATTTCTGGGGGCTCAATGTAATACTATCTGTAAGGTCATCTTATTGCAGGGGCAACTATAGCTCAATCAAAATAGTAAATCACACTAGGTAATTGTGAGTTTATACTTTTTCAATCAAAATGATAACAGAAAGTGAAAAGTCATTCCCTAGTAACTCCTTTCCTGTTATCAAGGGACTTACTGAACTAGAAAGTTTCATTCTTAACTGTCCACAGCTTCAAATCCAATTCACAGAGAGTTGGTCAAGTAAAACATAAACTAAATGTCATATTCACACAAGATCATAAAAATTACAGACTTGGGAAAGCTTTTCAATGTAAATATAGGAAACACTCAATCCATCATATAAGACAGACATAAATGATAGTTGAGGAAAGAAAATTAAAGAATGGCCTTTATTATATTAACAAGTTGGGAAGGATGAAGAAAATTTAGGATAACAGGCGACACAAAAGTGTAATATGCTAATAAGCAATCGCCAGTACAGGCTTTAAAAAGTGACATCATTTCAATGGCGTTTCAGAATAATATGCCTCACAAACATTCACAGGACTTTGCCATAATCACACTTTTCAGCAAAATTCCCATTTCTTGCAGGGGTGGTGGTGAGACAATGCATAAATTACTGACATATGCAATAAGATAATTTAAAAAACAAACAGCATATAATAAAATGCATTTAGCACCAGAGCTGACAAAGACAAATGAAATGAAGGCACTTTTAAAACAATCCCTAGTAGTCATGTAATCTTGGCAATGGATAGGTGCCTTGCATCTATTAGGTGTTCTTCAATTTATTCCTGTTGTGACCTTAATGATAATCCTGTTACAAGGACTGGAGAATATCCAAAAAAAAAAAAAAAAAAAAAAAATGTGGAAAGTGAGGCTAAGAGAAACCATCAGGCTTTTTCTTGTTAATAAATGTGAGAGCTGGGACCACACCCAAGCTCTCTACATTCAGTATATACATAGGCTTTTCCACTGTCGGCTTCTATTGTGACCAAATGGAATTGACTTAAATATATATTTTGGAAGCATAACAACTTTCCATTGTTTAGGTGTCATTGTTCTTGAAAAAGTTATATGAAGTAAAGCTCATCATTTTAAAAATCTCCTTTGCTGCTAGCACTTTTAATGCAAATGAGTTTCATCCAATTAGGAGTGCTAAGGACAGCTTCTGGAGGGTAGCAGGAAGCAAAGGCTAAATTCTGGTCAAGACTTTGGTGTATGTTTGCAGGGCAACAGGAAGTTCACTGCTTGTGACTTGGCTCTAGTGGTCACTCTAGAAATAGGACTCCCTGGAGGACCAGTTCTCTAGGATTCCTTGAGTCCCTAGAAGTTCAGCTGACAATCTGTCCTCTGCCTTAATGAGGTTTTGAAAACCTTCAAGGTATTGGATAGATACTGCCCTTATTAAAAATAGTGTGATGTTTTTAATTTGGAAGCTTGAATGGAAGAGGTGGGTTTGCATTTTTCTAATGCATGTAACAAGTTTAACAGAATGAGGTAAGATATCTAATGGTTTGAATTTTAGGAAAACATGAGAAAAATGAGCACCCATACAATATCTACTTCTATAATTTATATTTATATTTTAATAAGTAAAATAAGGTAATTGATATTGGTAAACATCTATTTACCTACACGAGTAAACACACACACACACATGTATATTTATATATATACATGTTTTATATGTGTATAAATATGTGTGTGAGAGGAGACTTGTATATACATTATGTGCATGAATATGATGACTCGATCATACATGGGGTAACCAGCATGTAGGCTACAGTAATTAAATAGGAGACTACTGGTAATTTAAATGGAAAACACTTGAGACACATCCCAACATCAGTACTTGGAATTAAACAAACCCCTTCCTTCACAGTACCAATCTGAGGCATCATTACTTCAATATAGTTTTATGTCCTGCATGAACTATTGCTAATTGTCCTTTCATTAAATCTTGTGCAGGAATGATTGCTGCTTCAGTTTTATTGAATGTAGTATGGTGTAAGTAGCTATTGTAAAAGCTCTCTTAGATTCTGGAAGCACAGGCTGGTGGTATGGTGAAGCTATGTGATGGAAGTAACATGATGACGGAAAATAGACT